CATCAGTCTTTCTTTGTGTTACAGCAGTTTGCCCAAACATATCCTTAATTAGTCTGTGTTTGCAATGTTGGCTATTTAGTATAGGAGGAATAGTGGACAGTTTTCTTTGTGAGTTTCATGACCCAAGAAAAACCATCAACACTGATGCTTTTGCATGTGGACTGAAACACAATAGCTTGTCAAGTCTAGAAAAATCTTATTACTATGGTACAGTTGTATGTTACTCTCAGGATACTAGTCTCTTACACTACAGATCAGTTTTGAAGAAGTCCTTATATACTTTTTAAAGCTGCAATATGTGAGGCAAATACATACTTAGCATTAAAGTTTTCTTTTCCCTTGAACAGCATCTGGTATCTGTAAATATTTTGCAGTTTTACATCTTAAAATATTGTTTTGTGCCAACCCATTTTGCACAAATTAACATTGATTAAAATTTTGGGCTTATCCTGACTTCAAACTGGTGTTGACAAAACTGTCATCTTTGAGTTGATGAAGAGCTGAAGCTCTGTGTTGCGTAGGGACTCTTCACTGCAACAACCTACTGCCTATTCAGAAGGAAAGATAAACACAAATAAAGCAACTTAATCTCCAGCGATTCTAAACGGTTCCTAGTTACACTCTTAGATAATTAACTTCTCCTGTGATGTGCTCATTTAATAGATACCTGGTCATATGTGACCATGTTTATTTAATGTGCTCTGCAATATTTATAACACAATACACCCTTCTCATTATAAACCAGACAGTCTTTAATTTATTTACACACACATATTCTGAAGCTTTTGCTTAGACAAAACTCTACAGGCTTCAGGAAAATATATCTGAGGGTGCATGTTATTTTATGACTGCTCATAAATAGCTTCTGAAGGGAGTGCCAGGAAAGAAAACCCTAGTGTTTTTCCTTCTTTTCAGCATTACCGTTCTGATATTTATGTACATTAAAAAATGAGGGATATGCTATGTGAAGTGTGATTGTTTTTGTTTTACTTCCATTTTTATTTCATTAGGCCTTTATCACAACCCTGAAGTCCCTCATTAGACTCATCAGTAAAACAATATTTGTCATGGTGAGCATAATATCGCACAGCTCAGGAGCTCAATAGATTTATGCAGATTTCAGCTTTGTGGCACCTGTCTCTGTAACAGAGCCCAAAGGGAAGGAGATCTCTGTAGCCACATTCTGTTGTCCAGAATAATTCCAAAGCCTACAACAAAGACCACTTGTTTGCAATGTTTCTGGCTATACTTCATAGGACTTGGGTGGGTCATTCCTGGGCACATTTGCATATATACCTATATGTGAGCAAATGTTTATGTGCCTGAAAAGTGCCTGTGTGTTGGTGCAGAACAACCCTGTCTTTTCTTAAAACTGCCTTGCAAAACTGATCAAAACTGAAAGCTGCAGCAAACAATGACTGCATTTCAAATCAATCATAAATTAATTTAAAATTAGTGATGTATCTTGTCTCTCACTTGAAGGAGCCTATACTGAGGATTACCATTGTAATTTCCTTCCCATGCACCACTTCCATCTCCACAGAAGAGCTCCCAGACCTTTGCAGGTCTATTTTTCTGCTTGATCGAACTGATAGCCATTAAAGTCCATATCTCTTGAAGCAATAACTGTGATGCTTTTGCATTAGGCTCCTGAAAATTAGCTGCTTGGAACTCAAGTGCCTGCTATCTTTAATATGGCAATGCATGGGATAAACACCTACAGGCCTCTCTGGTAAGGGGAACTGTCCTGTTGCAGTGTATGGCTTGTGCAGCCACTGGAAGTGCTGGCCAAGAGCAAAGTCCTCCTGTTTGCTGAGAATGAAGAGATCAGTGGTGTCTTGGATAATGCCGGTTTGCTCCTTTTTAAATGTGCTCCTTATATGAGGAAGAAACTTCATCTTTCCTAAAGTTGTTTCAAACCAAACACCAATGAAGTACCTGGATTAGGAGCCCAGAGATGCTGCAGTGTGTACTTCATAGAGATCTGAACTGCCTTTTGGAGGTGTCTCTCTCCATCAGGTAAAGAGAGGTAGCCCAGGGCAAACCAGCTCCTAATCACAGGTTCATTGAAGTGCCTGCAAATAACTGAGCCAAAGCCATTCTTTGGAGGTGTGTTCTGCAAGGGGGAGTGCCCTGGGTGCCACACAACCATGCTGCCGTGCAGCCTGTGCTTGCTGCAGTTTTCATTTAAAAAAAAAAATTATCAAACATTTTTAATTTGTTTCTTGATAGCTAATGAATTTTATATATATTTTCCCTCTCTTTTGAAGAAATTACTGGAAAAATTGTCAGATTTTTTTGAGCCATTTGCAAAACACAAGGAAAGGCACATGATGGAGCTTAATCATGTTATAAGAGATTGTTACTGTGAAAGGCATAACTATTTTAGTTATATTGGGTTATTGTGCCATTAGTACATTAGTATTTGGCTGCCAACTGTGCAGCAGTGGGGCTCCAATCAACAGGAGTCCCTGAGCCTTTTCCATTGCAAAGAGTGCCAAGGATAGGAGGCAGAGAGGCTCTTAGTGGTACTGTTTTTTCAGTGATTAATAATACTTGAGATCCATTTCAGTGATCAGAAATGTGCCTTAATGAGACAATTAGTCAAACCATAAAAGCTGCACAGCCATTTAGCTGGTGTTACTACTGGAATAATTTGCTGCGTCTGCTTTCTTTTTCCTGATTCGACTTTATCACAATAGTCTGGCTGAAAGTTGCTGTTGAGAAGACTTGGAGGCTAAATTCAGTTTTGAACGGCCATGATTATCCACAGGACAGATAATCCCCTTAAAAATGAGGGGAAAAAAGTGGATATTTCGTTATAAAAAAATTACACGTCGTTGTCCACATGGCTACTGTAGTGCCTTTCAATATCCAGCTGCCTGCTAGTGCTGTGGCAACTAACTGCAGGTAGGGTTTGGTTTGGGGGTAGGTACCAGACTCAAAGGGCAACTGCAAATTTGTGTTTATTTCATCCTTCTGTAACAAAAACACAGTAACAGGCCCTGAGTTCTCCATGTGGAGCTATGAAATCTCCTTTAGGTACAGCTGATTTTTTTGTCTCACTCTCACAATTTGGTCATAATATTACTCTAAAGCAAAGTCAGAGCAGTTGTCTTCAACCCATGCTTGTCTTGAAACCTTGCTTTTTCAAACCTGCAGTTTTTGTGTTCCTCAAAGCTTGTTTGTATTTACTCCAGCTAAACATGTTGATTTATTAAGGCCTAATATCTCCCCACAAAACTGCTGTTATTCTGACTTGGAGGTATGTCAGATATGTCCTCAGAGTGAAGTTAAAGAGGGCACCAAATACAGAAAAATTAACCCACCCAACAAACAAAATAACAAACAAACAAATCTATCCCAAGTCTAGTCACACTAGTGAGCTCATCTGCTTGCATTGTTTCCAGTGATGTTCACAGCTTTCCGTGCTCAAGAGATCTGGGGAGTTTATTCTGCTATTTTAGGGAGTAAAGCCTGCCCAGTACTAGAATTATTTAAAATAATTTAGTCTAATTAAATTGCATTTATCTAAGAGGCCAATAAGCAATTTAGTGCCAGAGCAGAAAGCCATTTGTTGGTGTCCCAGTGATGAATGCAGTAGGTGTGTTTGAGAAAGCCCTGCCTCTGCTGAGAGCTGCACTGGAGCTGGTTTATGGGCAGGACAATCTGCTCAGTAGTGGCAGGGAGGGTCAGGGTGACAGCAAGGTGGGAACAAACTCCCTCTGTCCAGGGCAAGTGCTGAAAACCCAGTTTGCTGTCCATGTGAATGCTTCCTGCAAAAAGTGCCCCTGGCCAGCTGTGCCAAACTTAACTGTATTGATCTTCTCAATCCAGCTTAGTTTGAATGTTCTCACTTTTCTGATCTTGTTGTATCAGAGTGGTAGAAAGGAAAACTTTCAGTGGATTAAAGGGAAAATACAAGTCTTGCTTTGCTCAGCTTTGAGTATTGTTTTTCTTACCAAGGAATATTGGTTTAATGGCTCTGTCACCTCTAGGGAAGGGGACTGAATCTGAACATAGTGATAGTGTTATTTTGACACACCTTTGTGTTGGATCAGTGTTACTGTAAATGTGGTTTGCTATCTGTGGTTTGCAGATTTCAGCTGGTAGGAGATACTGAGTGATGGGTTTTTGGGTTTTAGTTTAGTGCTGGGCAGCCTGCTCTCCTGCAGCCCTGCTGGGAACTGTAGCTTTGCTGCCTGCTGTTCCCTGGGCCTCAGCAAATCCTTGTGTTCCTTGGCTCTGCTAGTATGCAAAGATTAACCACTCCCTTCTTTCATATCTAATTATGGGCCAAACTGAATATTGCTCAGGGTACCAGCATTCTGCCATATGATTATTCTCCAACAGCCGGTTTTACCTAAGTGTAAATTGTTTTTAAAATAGAATTGAAGTTGAATGTATATTGACAAATAAGAGCAAAAAGGAAGCCTTGTACTGTAGTTACTTTAGGGCACATGGAATATCAGCTGTGATAACACCCAGTCAGTTTTACTCCTGTCCTTATGGCTATGCCAACTTCTTTCTCTCTTCTTTTGGGCTCCCTAGTGATGCACAAATGTTCTCTGAGATACTTGTGGCCAAGAGAGGAGCGGAACTGTAAACTGGTATAAAATAAAATAAAAATAAGTATTATCTGTAAAAATAAGTATTATCAGATATGAATGACTTTGAAACTACCTTTGACATAAGAAACTTTATAGAGTTGAAAGAATGAAAGATACCCAGAATTTCAGTCTTTTTTAAATTTAATTCAAATTATTAAAATGCCATACAAGTCAGTTCTATGTACCCAAATTTGCAATATTTGGGGTAGTAACATACAGCTGGTTCTGGAAAAGGTGTTCTATTCTTATTTGGTTGACATGGGGGTGTAACCAGATTATCCTCTTCACTGAGACCTAGAAGTGAAAAGAACCAATTGGTAGTATCTTTGTGATGCAAGTAAACTGCCTTACAGAAACCCAAGATTAAAGGGAAAGTGTCCATGTAAATTGTTAAGCATTTAACACTGCTTTTCTGGCTTCTTCACAAAGTGGATCCAGCTTGCCATCACCCTCTAAAGGAGAAAACTACAACTTAGAAAATAAATGCAAGAAGCATATTTATCTTTTGCATTTCTACTTCTTACCCCAACACCTATTGTCCTTTTGTGCTCTCCCTTGCAGTATTTGGACCCAGTTTGGCTCTGCTGTGGTTAATTCTGTAACCTGAGATGGATTCAGCTCAAGCAAAAAATAAAAATTGCTATTTTGAGAGCAGAGGGAAGCCCTAATACCTCTGTGAAACCTAGCAGGTTTTCCTGTGTTTGTGTGCTGGTGCATGTGGGATGGCCCCAGACAGTGCTCCCCAAGCGTGGCCTTAACTCCCAAGCCATACTCTGTTCCTGACTGCACCTTTCAAACCACCTTGAATATAATGCAGTACAGAGCTTAAGAGTGTAAATGTTGATAGCACCTGGACTGTTTATGCCTTAGGAAGTGCTCATTTCAAAATGCATGTGCTTTTAAAGCTGCAAATAATAAAATTCAGGAGTTACCAAAATCCAGGTCATGGATGTTGCAATGAAATACAATCTCCCTGTTGACCTCCAGGTCTACAGCATTCCAGCCTGTCACCACTTCCAGAATAAGTTGATGTCCATCTGTCTTCAGACCAGCTGGAAAAGGGCAAAGCAGCAGTGGCCAGTACTGTATTTGCTTGGTTCACAGTGAATTTTGAGTATATCTAAGTTTTAGCCCTTATGAAGAGGAGAAAACCCCAGTGTTAATGTAGTTAAGTGCTGTACAAAACTCCCCACAAAGCCTGTCAGCTTTAATCTCTGTCTTCACTATTATTACATTAATGGATCTCCTTTGAATGAAGCCTCCACCCTCTGTCATTTCTAGGTCTAGGGATAAAAGGCAAGAAATTAATTTTGTACTTGTATTTGCTATTAACTGGCAGAGCAGCTGTAAGGAACACAATGCATTTATTTGTAAGTACCACAGAATAAGACTAAATTCAAAAGAATTCTCCAATAAGCATTAAGATGGTGTTATAGAACAGCTGGAACATTAGCTGAACAACCTTGATAACCCAATTGTTCATTGACGCATAATTCATCTTCTACTGAAAGAGTAATTTCTCAGGACATTCAAGATTTGAGATTTTTGTGAAGCTGAGAGTCAAATCAGAATGGACAAAATAATCTCTTGATCCACATAATTTTTTAGATGAATTAGGTGCTTTTCAGGTTTATTATGGTGCATTGTATAATATTAATCAGAACTGGGGAAATAAGAAAACTGGCTAATAATGCAGTTCCAGGAACACAGAATTGCTAAGTACTTGCCTGGGCACTACCCAGATCTAAATTTGTTTTTATTAATCACTTTCTATTGAGTTGTTTTACAAGGCAGAAGCAGATTCCTGTACAGTCAAACATTCAGGGTCTCACCTTTCCAGGTTTCTATCAGCTGTGTTAAGGCTGTGCTGACACCTCAGTTATTCTGGCAGGTGGAGGTACTTCATCTGTCCCGGTTCCACTGTAGCTGTATGACTTGCAAGGGTCAGCATCTCTCAAAAATTTAACCTAATGGTGTCCACCTGTGAGAGCTGTTTGCAGTATTTTAATTCAACTTATTGAAAAAGTAGGAGAAGTGGCTGAGGACAGAGTCTATTTCATGAAGCACCCTGCTTTCAGCTTCTGCTGCTGTTTTGCCATTCTCATCAGACAGCTCTTGCTGCTTTCTAGGAAGCTTTGATGGTAATCTCAGACAATTAATTCACACTTATAAAATAGGTGAGAGAGATGGCATCTCTATACTGTGGCCTCTAAATTAAAAAGCCCACCTGATTAGTTTCCCAAGGTTAGGGCCATGACAGGTACATTGCAATCATCTACCAACCCCAGGGAAAAAAAATTGGAATGAGTTGCCAGTAGCCCACTTATTGCATTGACTCATGTTCTTTGTAAATTTTCAGTGTCAAGCAAATAGGGATTTTTCTGATACCGAGTTTATCTGTGTGTCTATGTGTGTGTGTGTGGGGGTGCCTCTATGTTACCTAAAGCCTATGAATTCACAAAATTGTACTTATTTGAATACTTGTGTTCACATGCGTGCAATTTGATTTGTCTTGTAACCTTAGATTAATTTTGCTAGGCAGAAAAGTTATTACAGCTGGAGAGCATCGGAGCAGAGGAAAAGTGTCGCTTATTCCCTTATAAACAGGGAATAGACTACACCAGTCCTTAATGAGTTGAATGAGAAAAAAATAGCTACAACCCTTCTCTGTGGGCAATACACCACCGCAACTTTAGTTGAATTGTGAAGTTCTGCAGCACCTGCAAACTCTGTAAAGCCCCGAGGCACTGCTCTTCTGTCAGAGCTGCCGTGGAGTCATTTCAAACCCTGCAGCAGCGCCCCGAGCCGCACAGCTGGCTCGGTCCCTCACCTGCGGATGAGGGAGGTCGGAGCTGCTCTGCTCCAAAACGTGGCACAGCTGCCCCGACCCTGGGGGTACCTGCTGCCTGCTCTGCGTTGGCTGCTGGAAATAATAGCTGAGCTGTGAGCGGCAGATGTAACTCTGCTCCCAAATACTTCTCTTTACAATTACATTTGGGTTTAAATGTTTTCATCGTCGGTTTGTGTGTTTATTTCAGTCTGTGTTTTGAATGAGGTTTGTGTAAATGGAAAATGTACAGACACTGGAAAGCTTATTTTAGCAAAGAGAACATCTGGAGGTGTTTGTGCTTTCTGAGGCGCGTTTGAGGAGCGGCCCTTTCCCCTGTCTCACCCGTGGCACAGCTGCTGCAGCCCCTTCGCAGCCTGCCAGCCTTGCAACACCGAGAGAGAGCCTCCGGAACGGCGCGGCCACAGGGAACCTGAGCACGGACCAGAGGCCTGAAGCTGCCTCGGGAGAGATTTAGACTTGGGTACCGGGAAAAGGCTCTTCACCCAGAGGGTGGCTGGGCACGGGGACAGTCTCCCCAAAGCAGTGGTCAGAGCACCGGCCTGACAGAGATGAAGAAGCGTATGGACAGCGCTCTCAGGCACCTGCTGGGATGCTTGGGGCTGTCCTGAGCAGGGCCAGGAGTCGGTGATCCTTGTGCCTCCCTTCCGACTCGCGATATCGCACGATCCTACGGCGGGAGCGCGGCGGGCAGAGTCCTCCCCGCTCCGGCCGAGCCTCCTGCCGCGGGCAGGGGGGGCTGGGGCAGGGTCCGGCCTCACACCGCCCGGCAGGACGGGCCGGGGCAGGGCCGGGCCTCACACCGCCCGGCGGGACGGGCCGGGGCAGGGTCCGGCCTCACACCGCCCGGCGGGACGGGCCGGGGCAGGGTCCGGCCTCACACCGCCCGGCAGGACGGGCCGGGCCGGGCACCGGGGGGAGCCCGGACAGGGCCCCCGCAGCTGCAGGCCCGCCTCCGGCTCCCTCCCGGGGGGTTGGCACGCTGAGACGCCCCGAGGCTCCGAGCGGCGGGGCCAGGTGGGCTCGGCGGGCCGGGGCTGCCAAGCACAAAAAGGCGACAAGGTCTTTCCTCTGGAGGCTTTTATTTGCCGTGCGGAGCTCCGTCCGTGACCGAGCTGGATGCGCGTTACCAGCGTACATTTCAGGGCGGATATATCGATGTAGACAGATAAATATATTTCAATAGAGACAAAACGTAACAGGAACAAGTGCTATAAATACACATTTACATTTGTCATAAATATATACTTTCTTATAAAAATAAAAGTATCACTAAAATATTTCTCTGTCTTCTGCAACTCACGCTGTGTTGACACAGCCGTGTCCTGCCAAATTACCCGTGGCACAGGGGCTCTGGCAGAACTCCTGTCAAAGGAGCAGGGCCGGGCTCGCACACCCTTGAAACACCCCTATTTTGAAGTCGAACATCTTTTACTTTTGATCGCTGTCACCACGGAATTTCATTTAAAAATCTGCTTTTTCATTTCTACACCCCAGCACTGCGTGTGCGTTGATATACACCCACGGGGAGAGCGAAACAATTACCTTCTGGAAGTTCTCTTGCAGGAGGTTGTGTGCCCCGGGTCCCACCAAGAGGGCTCATTAAATCATAGCCACTTGTTACATTAAGGTAATTACACTTAGCTTGTCAATCAACATTTTCTCTCTTTTTATACTGAACAATCTCTTTCATAGTATTCTGGTTAGAAACATTTTAAAAGCTTCATGTTTGGTTTCCATAAGTGCATAAAAGTGTGTATTTTTAAACTTCATAAAGGAACTTGATCTGTATAACACAAATAATTTTAAATAAGAACTTAAGAAAACCTATTTCCTGAAATCTTTCATAGATGCAGCATGGGACCACAGCACATACATGTAGGGAATTGTGTTAACTGAGAAGCAGTACAGTCCCTTGTGAAGCTCCTGCTGTCAGAAAAGTTTGTAATGCCTGTAAATTTTATCCATCTGTAATTTAACCAGAACCCTCCAATTTAAACAGACCTGAATTGAGCTTGAATCTTCCTGCACAAAGTCAGGTACCTTGCAGATAGTGCTTTTAGCACAGGTAGCGGCAAAGGTAAACCATGTACACAAAAGACTTCCCCTGCAGGGACTGAGCTCATCAAAGCTGCTCCTTTCAGGTATTCAGGCTGAACGCTAAAACCAGATCAGTAAGATGCAAGCACAGAATGGTTAGTTAAATAAATAGGAAGTATGGGTGGTCACTGGTCCTCAACTAAAAATAGCATCAGTATTTTCCACCACCAGTAGTTTCCAGAGCTGGAGAATGCAAAACACCCATTACAGCAGCTGTAGACAACTAAGGGACTCTTAATGATAAATTGGTATAAGATATTAGGTGTGGGTGTAGATGCATCCTGGGTTCTCAATGACTGTGTTGAGCACAGTGAGCTTCTTTTAAGATTCCAGACAAAAAAGTAAAATGAGAAACAGGTAATATTTGCAAATAACTATTGGTACTTATATGGCTAGGATTGCAAAATAGAAGTATATATTTAATTAGAAGAAAATGAATAAGTTATCAAATAACTATTCACAGTAATTTTATACACTTAAAATATTACTATAATTTTAAACATATAATTCTACAAAAATATGTAGTGCTACATTTATGTTAGAAATGCAGAATGCTTTTGTAGTGAAATGATACAAAGTAAAATTACTGGGAATGTTTCAAAGTAATCTTTTATAATTATAGTATAGGAACAATTTAAAGTTTTATTTTGCACTGTGTATTCTTTGAGCAAACTTTTGCTCTGGATAAGTTTTCTTGGGTTTTGCTTATGTATTTTTACATTTTAACTTTTAAATTAGATTAGATGTTAGGAAGAAGTTCTTTACTGTCAGAGCAGTGAGGCACTGGAACAGGTTGCCCAGAGAAGTCATGGATGCCCCATCCCTGGGAGTTTTCAAGGCCAGGTTGGATGGGGCTTGGAACAACCTGGTCTAGTGGAAGGTGTCCCTGCCCATGGCAGGGGAGTGGGAACAAGATGATCTTTAAGATCCCTTCCAACCTAAACCATTCTATGATAACTTTGGGGCAGCTTTTATGCTATTATATTATTTATGTAACCTAAAAACATATTTCATCTTTTATTTGAACCACAGCTCATGGAATAATAAAACATACATATTGTTCAGTGAAATATAACTTTAAAAAAAAATTAGTCCAGCTCTTAATGTCTGAAAATCATCATAGTTGATTTACTTCAACATAGCTACTTGCTCTGATTGATTATCAGGCCTGCTGTGCTTTCATATATGGGGTTGTGGATATCCTTTATCCAGCAGACTGCTTAATTGCAACTCCAAAGAGGCAGGAAAATAACCATGGACATATAGAATCTCCTGAATTTGTATCTAGAGTTCTTAGACAGAAACATATCTGCATCTCTAGGTTATTGCAATAAATCTATTCTGCTTTTATGTTTCAGAGTGCTGAAACGTATGATTGTTCGGTCTACAAAGGAAGAGAGAACATCTCTACCGCTCCATAGGCAAGGAAGCAATCCCTGGCCAGGCCCCAGAGTGTGCTCCAGCTTGTGCAGCACAGGATCTGCGCTGGAGTTTGGAATTAAGTGTCTTCAGTCAGCGAGTAAGTTGGGTTCTAACAACAGTACTGAACTGTAAGGCAGCATATTTCACCTCACAAGAAAGTAACTGAAAATATCAGTCCCTGGAAGGATTCATAGAGAATGAAAGAGATGATGAGAGAAACCTCAGGATCACACTCACATAAAATGGGAATTACCAGACACTATATATTACCACTTTCCTGGTTGAATTTACTGTATATTGCAGAATATGATACCTTACATCTACTATTAAAAAATAAAAAATATAAGTCCCTCCAAGCGGGATGTTGCAAAGCTGATATGAGTACCAGTACTGGTATGTATAACTCTAGTTTGAAGACTTACTTATATTGCAAATTTACCTCTTCATTCTAGTTATTGCTCTTTGATTTTGTGTGGTTGCATTCACTCTCCTGCCAGTCACGGTGACTAAATTAATTCAAATGCAAACAGAAAAGGTCTTAAGTAGGATTGAATAGTACTTCTGTTTTGTGCTTTGCCTCTCTGTCAGGCTGGATTTTGCTCACTGATAGAAAGAAATAATTAAGTCAATTCATTAGGGACAAAATTCTGCCAGTTCTCTGTGATGGATCATGTCTCCAATATGCTACTTTCAGAACAGGACTGTGCCTGTGACCAGAGCAGACCAGAATAAAAGCTAAATTATTTCTGCAGCATTTTTGAATTGGGGGAAACATGCAAACACTTGTGGTATGTTCTTAAACTCTGTGGAAATGCACAGGGGCCATTCCTTTAAAAATAATCAGCTTTTCTTATATGGTAAATAGACTGGTGGTATTAAATACTCTTCATGCAAAAGTTCAAGATATAATGGCATCAGCCTATTATTTACAGTGTTACTCTTGAAATTCCCAATATTGGAAATTTCTTCTTTTTCTTTACATGCAAATCTCGTAGTAATAGATGTGAATATTTTAGAACTACTTGCAGGGGATATTAATTATTTGGTGTGCCTTAGTATCTAATTTATGTCATATACAAACTTACTCAATTTTTTAGATAGTAAAATGGCACAAGTTAATTATGGTTAGAAATGGTGGTACAACACATACTTTTATGACTTCCTCCTTCATTTCAGCCAGTGAGACCAAATCTTTTTTGCTGACTCGTAAGCAAGAAATGGTAGATTTAGTATACAGAGTTGTAAATGTTGGCAACAATGAGAAACAAATGACACTTTGGTTCTACACTATTATATTACTAGTATTATCTTGCCTTTGAACAGCTATGTCACGTTTCTTCATAAGGTGGATTTGGGAGAGTAATTGCCACAGCCTCTTAGCGCTGGCGGTCACTCTGTGGCTGTGTGGCTGCATCTTGTTTAGCAGGTGGCTTTGCTGTAGTGGAACTGCATTTCTTGCACAGATCTCTCATTGCTAGGAGACTTTCTTCCACAGCTTTTGCAAACCTGTCTGAGGAGGTTTCATTACATTCTTTAAAGCTTGAGATGCAGAATAATATATGCTCTGGCTGAGGGTTATAACATGCCCCATATCCATTGGGCACCACAGGTCCATAGCAACAGAACATTTCCATAGTAGTAGGA